CCGGGGACCCGGTGGTGGCGTGGGCTGATGCCCGTTTCGCCGTAGGTGCCAGGGCGGTTGCTGGAGGTGGCCAGCCTGACGCTGCGGGAGTTCTTCAGCGCCGTCAGGGCAGGCAAGGACGCCGACCCCTCCTGGAAGAAACCCATTTACAAAATAATTTCCAAACTGGACAGTGACATCCCAGAAGGGTTCAAAGCTGCCGGCTGCTCCCAGGAACTGCTCCGCAGCTGAGTCTCTGTGAAAGCAGCCCCGGGTCCTGTGTGCAGCCACCATGTGCTAAGCACCTCATGGGCATTCTGTACAGCATCCATTATTCTGAGTATTTTCTCTCTGGCCTGTAAGACAGCTCCTTGGGTGAGGTCTATCACTTGCCTCAGGTGCTGGGATTTTATGCTGTGTGTTTTATTCCCCTGCTCAAAGCCGGTGGGGTCCTGCTGGAGACCCTCAGAGGAGAGGGATGGGGATGAAGCCATCTGGTTGGAGCCTGGGAAATCGCCCTGCCCCAGCTCTCCCCGTGACCCTGGGCGAGCCACCTTCCTTCTCTTCTCCAGAGGGCCACAGATTAGGGCAAACAGCCTTTCTGTTTATAAAGCAAGCAGAGGTCCTAGCAGCGGGCAAAGTTTTCTTGGCGCAGCAGACCGGTGAATGTGCCTGGTCCAACAGCACGCCTCGGTTTCTGTCCAGATACAACACGCTAGCGTCCAAAGAAAACAGCTGGTGAATTCCAGCATTTCAAGCACCCCATGGGGATAGTTGACCCTGTCTGGGAGATGTAAAAACAGTGTTTGTTTTAGCTGGCACGAACAACACTCCCCCCTGCCTCCCCTGTGCTGTTTGGCAAGAGCCCCCCATGCAGCTGCCCGCTGCGGCCAAGCAGGTGAGTGTGCGCTGGTGGAAGCAGCCCAGGAGCGAGCGCTCACCAGCAGTGTTACCCGTGATGCTGGAGGAGAGCAGGGTGCACAGCCGGCACCGCTCAGCCCCGCAACCAGCCCCCATCAGCTCATCACCTGGGAGGAGAGTGCCATGTTAAACGCCCACCAGAGTCCCCTTACACCGTGCTTCTGCTGGCAAAACTGCCCCAAACATCTTGGCTCCGCAACCTGCCCATGGTGAAAGAGAAGCACGTTATTTGGGACCCGTCAGTCCCTGTGGGTTTTAACACAAGCCAGTGAGGAGCTGGGCCCTGAGGTCTGCAGCCCCATTGCTGTAGGGGTGTAAACCCGAGGAGGTTTCTTTTCCCTGTGACCAGGACTCAGTGGCCACTTTTCCACCTGATGCAGCATGGCGAAGTGTTTTGTGTTAAGGGGTCTCTCGTCCTGGCAGAGGCGGCGGTGGGGAGGGAAAGGCTGTGAAGAGGAGGGAGGTCCTGGGAGAGGCACGTCAGGAGGGCTCTGGGAGAGAGCGCAGTGACGCATAACTGTGGATGAGCAACAATATCCCCGTGCAGAAGGCTCGGGGCGAAGGGGATCAGGAGGTCAAGATGTTGTTGGATGTGCCGCAAGGTGCCAGCTGTGTACTAGAGCACAGCAAGTGACACAGGAGAGGAAAATCACAGCTCCAGCATCAGACGAGCACATGGGATGATTCGCTGGCAGTGCGTCTGCAGGGGTAAGGAAGCATGTGATAACATCAAGGCAGGATGGGGTCTCCAAAATAGGAGCAGTTTTACAGTGGTTCCCCCCATTGCCAGTGTGGCTAGCCAGATTTCCTGCTTCTGTTTGTATGTTCATTTCTTGAGGTTTGTATATTTTACAACCCCAACACCAAATTTACTCGATCCATTTTTAAATAAACACATAGTTTAAGTTACCCCTTTACATCCCTAGAGACCTATTTGATAACTTCTGCTCTGAAGCGTTACCCTGGGAATTTCTTGCCTTTTGTTGGGAAAAGAGTAACGCTGCAGCAAAAGGGCTTACTCCTCCTGCTGGCATCCCCGTGGGGCCCAGCAGCCCCCACTAACCAACGTGCTCGTTTAAACCCCCACCCTCACCCCAGTGCCTCGGGGTCAGTCTGCTCTGAAGTGCAACTTGTTGGGAGGGTCAGGAAGAGGGGGCTGGAGGCAGACGGAGACATCCCAAAGCTTACGGGTGCCGGACTCAAATGTACAGCATCTGAGAAGTGCTGCTGGTGGCACCATGAAGGACAAGACGGTGCTGTTCCTGCAGGCAGCAACTACCTCAGAGCTTAAGTAATGCATTGGGTAGACAAAACTGACACTGCTGGAAAAGGAAATGATGGCCTGGCTCAGGGAAGGGGTTAGTAAATTCTTTTGGCTGTAGCTAAACAATTAGGGGACATAAGATACAGGTTTACTGAAGACACCCTGCTGGAACAAAACCCTTTCACACAGAGCCCCCGGGGGAGCAGTTTCTTGCTTCCTCTGCTAACATGCAAGTTCATGGGTGTCAGTGAAGGGGCAGGTGGGGGGCTGAGGGCAAGGCAATGCCCCAAATCACAGAGTCATGGAGTGGCTGAGATTGGAAGGGACCTCTGAGGTCATCGGGCCCAAGACCCTGCCCAGGCAGGGCCACCGAGAGCCAGTTGTCCAGGACCATGACCAGCTTTTGAATATCTCCAAGGAGGGAGACTCCACAACCCAATCATTAACGAAGATGTTGAACAGGATTGGACCCAGTATTTGGAGCAGTATTTTTGCTCCAGTGGTTGCCATATAACTGCAAGGAAGTGGGAACTACAGAGCTGTGTTCTGTGCTGCCTTTTGTGAAACATGGACCAGCATGACCACAACAAACAGCATCTCACATCAGTTATCCCTTGCCTGTGATGAGGCCTCGCCACTTGTATCCATAGGTTGAATTCTGCTCGGGCAGATTTTCCATCCAACAGAAATAGGGGGGGGGGGGGAAAAGCAGAGCTAGAGAGACTCTGCGAAGGACACGAGACCACAGGGCACTTGTCTGGCTGGCATCTTCCCCAGCTGCTTTTCAACCCCCTGCCCACCTTCAGCCAAGTGTGACAGAGAACACAGAGGTGTCAAGGATGCAGAGGGAGCATCTACCCACCTTTTGGTCACTCCACGCTCTGTCTACAAGCAGAGTTCCTGTCTGGGGAGCCCAGGGTGCAGCTGCCTCCTCCAGGGGTGCTCATCTGCCCGGAGCAAGGGGGGTGGCACCCAGGCAGGCACAGCTCTGCTGCACAACGCTGAAGTGGGGTGAGCTGAATCACAGCCCTGTGCTCCTGCGAGAGCCTTGGAAAGCAGGAGCTGGCTGGCAGAGAAGGAAGGGGGGACTCACGCTGCCTTCCCTCCATCTAGATCATAGGAGCACCAGATATGGAGAAGGCAGCACATCTGCTGGGACGCAGGGAGAGCTGGGGTTACTCTAGGGGCGATGGAGCCTGAAGCATAAGGGAAATAGGGTGTGAATTCTTAAGAAATTTGGGTTTCACTGGTTGTGCTGTGCAGGGTATGGTGTGTAATTTTATTTACATTCTAGTGGTGCCCAAGATATAGCAGCTAGTTTTCAAACAACAAGTAACGGGTGCCTGTCACAGGGAGATTTCTACTGACAAAATGGGTCTGCTTGGAGGGCTGGGGGGAGAAGGGAGAGCCGCTGCCCACACAGTGACTACGGTTGTGACCTTCAGGCTTGGGTGGGCTCTTGCTTCACCATTTCCCGCTAATTACCCAAGGAAGCAATGGGGGTGGTGCACTCACCTACTGCTGACTCGGTTTCACCTTTAAAAAAGAAAAAAAATCCCTTCCTTCCCTCTATCCTAATTTCTGTGGTATATGCAAACAATCATTAACGACCTGTAACTGTCTCCTCTGGGAACAATTCCTCGGGGCTATCCTTTTACATTTCCAATCGCATTCATAACCCACCCACAGCAACGCACCCAGTCCACACTGCTGAACAGCAGCAAAGACTGCCAAGGGCCGTTTCCTGCCTCCAGGCTGCCGGTGTCCTGTAGCAGCCCAAAGAGGGAGATGTGACCACACTGACTAAGCTGGCAAGGCCCTGAGAGCCCTTACGTGCTCATCTATGTTATTATTCACCATAAGAACCCTTATTACTCATGTACAGCTCATTAGAGCTTGAAGAAGTTCCTAGTGAATGTTCATCCCATGTGCCAAAATAGCTTGGGGGGAAACTCTGACAAGCAATAAAACATCTCTGTTTTTTCTTTACTTATGCTAATGACTCAGACCTGTCTGCAGTGAGGTCCAACCAGCCCTAGAGATTCGCAGCTCAAGCAGATGTTCTTGAGAGGGACCTTCCCTCAAATACACATCTCAGATACGTATTTGGCATCAGGGCAGCTCTCTCCAGGTAAGCATCCCCTGGGGAGCCAGTAGCCCATGCTCATGAATCTCAGCAACATTTGCTGTCCCATTATATGCATTAGAAGGACGGATTAATCCAGGTTACAGTACAAATACCACGTTTGAGAGATCCAACATCACTTTTCAGCTGGAGAAGACACCCCTTTCTCTGCCTCTGGTGTGCAGAGCGGCCCTGTGCTGCAGACCCAGCGCCACTCCAGGGGAAGGTGAAGCGACGCACAGAGACTGTGGAGATCAGTCTCAAGGATAAAACACCCTGTGGGGTCCCCCAGGACAGTCTGGTATCTCTAGCTGGTAGCAAAAGCCTTTTCTTTTTGCACACCATGAAATATATTAGTGTGAGCCATGGACCAGGGGATGGGAACTGGGGAGTGGAGCTAGCCAGGTGCCAGCTTCACAGCAGCAGCTCGTTGAGCTGTTCTCCCTTGACTCAGGCAATGAAAAGCCCCGTTTTGTTGAGACAGCGGCAATGGAGCCACACAGACAGGGCTGCACTCTCCCTTCTGGGGCACCCCGGCTCACCAGCCTGCCTGCAGCAGCTTGGGTGCAAGCACTAAAGCCTGGGTGCAGAGGTGAGCAGGGTGGAGAAGGGAGACGTCTCACAGAGAGCTCTGCCAGGCGGGCAGGCACCGGGACAGGAAGGCCACTGTGTAGCCCAGGGGCTTTCAAGGGAGATATTTACTCTGAGCAAGGGTGCACAAAGGACTGAGAGGGTAGTCAGCCTCTGCTGGAAGCTGGGGGCAGACTCGCCTCCACCACCCAAAGCCAGCAGGTTGGCTGAGGGTAATGCTTGTCTTGGAGGGGAGGCAGCTGGGGTGGGAGAAGGTGGGAGGCAGGCTCCAGAGAACAAGCACGTGTGTTCATGCATAAATACCGAACTAGTAAATCCATTTTTAAAAGCAGGCCTGATCTAGAATGCTTG